TATGTGAAGGCAAACTATGATGACATTATTTGAAGGTGTAGATTATAAACCCTAGAGTACCACTAAAAATAAAGAAGTCTGGCTAATAAACTCATGGAGGATATAAATGGATTCATAAGAAACATTTAATTAATCCAAACCAAAAGAAGGCAGGAAAAGGGAAAAAAGGGAAAAAGAAACAAAGCTCAAATAAAAAGAAAACAAATAGCAATTTTATAGATTTAAACTCAAATACACTGGGAGTTACATTAAACGTAAATGGTTGAAACACTAATGAGAAGGCAGAGATAGTCAGATTTGATATAAAAATATGACCCACCTGTATGCTATGTATTAGGCAAATATGTCCTATGTCCATGGGCTAACTCCCAGAACCTGTGAATATGTTAGATTAAATGGCAAAGAATAAATAAGATTGCAGATGGATTAAGACTCCTAATTAGTTGAGTGAAAAGTAGGGAGATTATTCTGGATTATCTGGGTAGGCCCAATGTAATCCCAAGTGTCCTTAAAAGTGAAAGAGAGAAGCAGGAGAGGTCAGAAATCAGAGGGAGATGTATCTATAGAAGAGTGGTTATAGATGCAATCTTGCCGGGGGCCATGAGCTAAGGAATTTAGGTAGTCTCTACAAAGTGGAAAAGGCAAGGAAATGGAATTTCTCCTAGAAAGGAACACAGCTCTGCTGACACCTTCACTTTAGCCCAACAAGACCCATGTCAGATTTATGACTTAAAGAACTATAAGATGGGGTGCCTGGGTGGCTCAGTTGGTTGGGCGTCCCACTCTTGATTTTGGCTCGGGTCATGATCTCAGGGTTGTGAGATTGAGCCCTGCATCAGCTCTGTACTCAGCACAGAGTCTGCTTGAGATTCTCTCCTTCTGCTCCTCCTCCACTCCCTTTCTCTCTCTAATAAATAAATAAAATCTTTTAAAAAACCCAAATAGTTATACGATAAAAAATTTACATTGGTTAAAGCCACCAAATTTGTAAGAATTGTTATAATATCAATAGAAAATACCTGCTGTCTACAAGAAACCAACTTTAATATAAAGACACAGGAATGATGGAAAAAGAGGCACCACTAATCAAAAGAAAGCTGGAGAAGCTAGTAATATTAGATAAAATAGATTTCAGAAAAAAGAGTATTACCAGAGATAAAGATGGTCATTTCTTGATAAAGGGGAAAATTCATCAAAGGGACAGACAACCCCAAATATTTACATACCTAATAACGGAGCTTTAAAATGCTTTATATCAAAACTGATAGAACTAAAAGGAGAAATGGAAGAATCTATAATTATAGTTAGACTTCAACACTTCTCTCTTGGTAATTCATAGAATAAATAGAAAACAAACAAACAACTAGTAAGAACGTAGAAAATCTAAACATTATCAATTAGACCACTACAGAACATTCTTCCCAACAACAATGGAATGCACATTCATTTCAAGTGCCCATGTAATAGTCACATATTTTGAACCATAAAAAAGATGCAATAAAAATAAAGGTTATAACAATCATTGAGTATATCCTATGACCAAAATGGAATTAAACTAGAATCAGTAACAGGTATCCGAACACCTCTGGATATACAGAAATGAAACACTGTGCCTCTCAGTAACAATCCATTGATAAAAGAAGAAATCAGCAGGACAACTGGAAAACATTTTTAAATTGAACAGAAAAAACCCCCAAAATACACAAAAAATTTGAGAGGAATAGCTATAGCAGTGCTTAGATGAAAGCATTAAATGTGTATATCAGCAAAGAGGAAGGGTCTAAAATCAGTGATCCAAGCTTCTACATGAAAAATTAGAAAAGGAAAAGCAAAGTAAACTGAGGGAAGGAAATAATAAAGGCCGTACATGAAATTAAGGAAATAAAAGAAAACAACAGAGAAATCAATGAAAACTGAAAACTGGTTCTCTGTAATAAAACTGATAAATCTAGAGCCAGAATGATCAAGGAAAAAAAAAAGAGAGAAGACACAAATAGTCAATTTCAGGGATGAAAGAGGGAACATCACCACAGACCTTACAGAAATCAAATTGTAGAACAATGGGATATTATGAATAATTTTATGTCAACGTCAGATGAACATCAGATGAAACAGAGAAATTCCTTTAAAGACACAAACTACCAAATGCTACCCCAAATCTAATAAATAACTGGAATAGCCCTATATTCTTTAAAAATGTTTAACTTGTAGTTAAAAGCCTGCTAAAAAAATCTAGACCTAATGGCTTCACTGGGGAGTTTTATCAAACAATAAGTAAGGACTAATAACAATTCTACGCAAACTTTTTAAGAAAATAGGAGAGGAGGGAACATTCCCAAGTCATTTTATGAGGGCATTAGACTGATGCTAAAACAAGGTAAAGATATAGGAGACTAGACAAAGAATAAAAGATATGGAAGAAGAACCAAAGAAAAACTACAGAACACATCAATATCTGTCATAAACATAGATGTAAAAGTCTGTATCAAAATTTTAGAAAGCTGAATTCAGTAATATGTAAGAAGGATAATACGTTGTAACTTAGTGTGGAATGCAAGGTTGATTTAACATTCAAATATCCATCAATGTGATAATCAACATTATGTAATGTACACACGGAACTAAAAAGAAAAACCACATGATCATCTCAGTAGGTCCAGAAAAATAATTTGATAAAATTCAGTATTCATCCCTGATTAACACTCTCAGAAAACCACAATGGAAGGGAATTTTCTCAACAAGATAAAGAGCATCTATATAAAACCTACAGCTAACATTATACTGAATGGTAAAAGAATGAATGGAGATATTTCCTTAGAGACAAGGAAAAAATGTTTGCTATCATTACTTCTATTCAACATTGTACTACAGGTAGGTCCTAGCCAGTGTGATAAGGCAAGAAAAAATAAAAGCCATACAGATTGGAAAGGAAGAGATAAGCTGTCTATTTGCAGACACATCTATGTAGAAAATCCTAAGACATCTATAGAAGTGACCAAAATTAATAGGTGAGTTTAGTGAGGCTGCAGGATACAAGGTCAACATACAAAAAAATCACCTGCAATTCTACATGGTAGCCAAAAACAAAAGGAAATTGAAATTCAGTACCATGTACAATAGCATAAAAATATAAAATAGTTATAAATATAACAAAATATGTACAAGAGTCATACATTCAAAGCTACAAAAATGCTGTTGAGAAAAATTAAGGAAGATCTAAATAATGGACAGATATGCCATTTTCAGGAATCGAACACTCAATATTGCTAATATGTCAATTCTTCCCAAATTGGGCTAGAGATTCAATGCAATCCCCACCAAAATTCCCTTATTTTTTTCCTACCAAGAGAAACTGACAAATTGACTTTAAAGCTTATATAAAAAGACAAAGAACCCAGAATAGTCAAGACAATTTTAAAAGAAGAAAACAAAATTAGAGGTCCATGCCATATGATTTTAAGACTTACCATAAAGTTAGGACAAAAATTAAAAATCAGAGCAGTATAGAATTGGCACAAAGTAATTAAAAAGAGAAAGGATATTCTTCAACAAAAGGTGCTATAACAATTGAATAACTGTATGTTTAAAAACAGCTTTCATCTCATACCTAATACTATATACAAAAAGTTTAATTGAAATGGATCATAAGATCATAAGACCTAAGCATAAGATAAAAAACTATAAGACTTGTGTTAGAAAACATAGAAACGACCTGTTAAGCAAAGATTTCTTATGATAGGACCCAAAAGACATGAACTATAAAGGAAAAAAATAAATAAATTAGACTTCCTCAAAATTAAAAACTTTGCTCTTGTAATAAGGCGATACTGTTAAGAAAATAAAAAGACAAGCCAAGACGGAAAAAAATATTTGCAGAACACACATTTGATAAAGGATTTGTATCCAGAATATGTAACAAATACTTACAAGATAAACAATCCAGTTAAAAAAATGGGTAAAAAATTTGAAATACTTCATGAAAAAGATACACGAATGGCACACAAGCATGAAAAGATGTGCAAATCATTATTCAGTAGTTAAATAAATATTAAAACTACAATGAGATTCTTCTTTACACCCACTAAGATGGCTAAGATTAAAAAGACTAATAATAGCAAGTGTTAGGGAGGATACAGGGAAACTGGAGCCCTCATACATTGCTGGGGAGAACAAAATGGTACAGTCACTTTAGGAAACAGTGTCTCAGTTTTGTTTTTTTTTTTGTTTCTTTGTTTGTTTTAAATAATGTTAAAAATACACTTAGCATACAACTCAGAAATCCCACTCCTAGGTAGTTACCCAAGAGAAACAGTATTTGACCACATAAAGACTTGTACAGGAATGTTCATAGTAACATTGTACAAAATAACCAAATAATGGAAACAAGCCAAATAGCCATCAGTTGGTGAATATATAAATAAATTGTGATAATCCATACAATGGAATAATAACTCAGCAACAGAAAGGAATAAACTGATTTGCAAAACAACATGGATGAATCTCAAAGGCATTATGCTCAATCAAAGAAGCCAGACACAAAGGTCCATATATCATATGTTTCAACTTAGACAAAATTCTGGAAGAGGCAAACTATAGTGAAAGAAAGTAGACAGTGGTTCTTTGGGGCTGGGGCCAGGGGAAAAGGATTGATCAGAAAGGGGCACGAGGGAGCTTTTTGTGGTGAAGAAAATGTTCCATATCTTCATTGTGGTAGTTTATGACTATGTACATACATCTGTCAGTAGTTACTGAACTGTTCACTTAAAATCAATGAGTTTTATTGTGTGTAAATTATACCTTAATTAAGCTGGTTAAGAAATTAGCTATACATCAAAATATGAAAAAAGGGCATTCTCTCACTTGCAAGTAATAATTACAAAATAATCTTTCAGTTTGGGTATACCATCTTTTCCCCTTTGTAGACCATCTCAATAAGCACATACATTAAGAGACCACAACCAAGCTTTTCCTCTGGAAATAATGTTCTCTGTGATACTTACCAAGAGTAGTGAGTCCCTCTGAGATAGATGTGAGAACATACAGAAGTACAGGAGGCTCCAAGTTGGTGATGAAGCTCATGTGGTCCTGGGTAAGACATTCCAGGAGTGGATAGTAAGACTGGCTCAGTTTCCGATATTGCTACAACACAGAGATAATGAAGTGTCAAGCCAAAGGGAAGCAAAAGACATGTTAAGGTCTAGTGGAAACTGCTATTTATAATATTTGAAATTGTAAACTTACTTAAACATAAATATATAAAATAAATACATGGAACACATGACATCATGATTCGCAATTCAGTATTGAAAGGGGTTCTAAAAGGAATCTCCTGATCTCTAGAAATCCTAATTTGAAGCTATAGCACTGCAAGTAATGTCAATTTGACCTTATATGGCTAACACTTAAATGCAAATAAAATCTCTGGCGTATGGAATTTAGAAGACTGAATTATTTTTCTGGATGGGAATATTGTAACACTGAACAGTACTTAATAGTGGCTAGGCAGCCTTTTTTTTTTTTTAATACAAAGCTATTTGCTGTTGTAGTAAGATTTGACATCATAGTCTGTTTCACTTACAAATGCTAACCCACCTAACTAAATCATGATTTGATCAATGGCTTAATATTTGCCATATACTACAGGCAAAAGATAAGTGCATGAGAAAAATACCTGGAAAACTTTAAATGGAACTCAAACCAATATCAAAGAAGCATAATGCTCATAAGAGAAATAAACCAGAGCAGTGTTTATTAAAGTGAGATTAAGATCACTTCCATAAGATCACATGGGATGCTTATTAAAAATGCAGTTTCCTGATCCCCACTCCAGACTCACTACATGAAATGCTCTGGAATGAGGTCTTGAAACCTGCATTTTAAACATGCACGTGAAGGGAGTCCTATGCACCCTTAAATTTGAGAATTACTGAGTTATAGATTTGCTTGCCTGTTAGAAAAATGATTAGAGCAATTCCTGGAGCCACAATTAGTTTTTTTGGGGGACCTCAACTGCAGTGAAGAGTCTTCTCGATGAGAACCGATGCCTGATCTGAGTCAAGTTTCTACTTTGTAATTTCTGTCATACGGGTAGCCTTCAACGAGTATCCCATTCTACTACTGAGGCTAAACCACTCTGGCTTGAGTTGTGCTTCTATTAAGACTAGCTTAGAACAGTGGAAGAGGGTGATGCTGGTCCATTCGTCCATTCTTGTCAAGGAGCATTTCTCACATGGGTTGACTAACAAAGGCCCCCTAGATTTTACTTATAACCTTGGCAGGGAGCAGGTGGGAAAGCCTGAACTAAGTCTGAGCATGAATCTGGCTGTTACTGAAGTAATTACTGCAACCACATTGGGCATATATTAGCTTTTGTGTAATCAGGCAGGGATGTTTAAAAAGTCTGATAATGACACAGCTCAGTGGAGAAGCCTGGAAATTTAAATTTCCAACAAGCACCCCAGGTGATTCTGAAGGGCCTCAAAGTTTGAAAACCACTGACATAAATCATAGAAACTAGATGGTAGAGTTGAAAAGGGACCTAGAGATCACTTTGTTTAATTTACTAATTTTAAAGGTGAGGAAATTAAAGCCTGGAGAAATAGAGAAGGTGATTTATTCAAGGTAAATGACTAGTGAGTGGCGGAGTAGAGACTATGCACCCGTATGCTCAACTCTGAGTTCAGCATTCTTTCTGCCACACCAGAATTTTCATGGAAAGGAAGGCGAAAGAGTAGGGGAAGCAAATGGGAGTAGGAGGAGGAAGGAAGAAGGAAGAAGATTCTGCAGCCAATCCTACATTTCTGCTCCAGGAAACAGACCTTTTTTGAATTATCAGCAGAGTTTTAAGTAATTAGTTGAAATTGCTATTTACATTTTCTCTGGATGCTGAACCTGGAGCACTCTGGATGACCGATCTGTCAGAGGTGGCAGCTGCAATTTTTGAAACCTGTACATTTAGTTATATACATACAGCCACTATAGTTGTTCAAATTCTTTACGTTAAATCAAGAGGTTGTCCTAAAACATAAAATGTTCTGGTGCTATTCTAACTCCCCGGGCTTCATTACAACCATTGCAAGCCTGTGGTGGTGTTACTTCACATTTCACACAAAGACTCCCATGATGCACGACTGCTTACTAGCAAGTCACTGTGGCACACTGACAGCAGCATTTTGACAAAGGCCTGGAGTACATTGTCAAAATGGTTGTCCCCATACAACTTGAAGACGCCAAAGCTGACATAATTTCCACACAAGGCAGATTTGAGAGCTGAATAGCAGATGGAGATGCCCTTGAGTTTCATTGGATAAATCTGATCTTTTGAGAGGCTCCCAAGGGACAGGATCTGATTACCTGTTTTAGGGTAAAAGCAGAAAGAGAAAGTGATATAAGGAGATGTAATTTGAAGCAGTTATGAGGCACATTATTTAACATTTTCACTTTACTGCTAAGGTTCACTTCCTCCTACCATTGTTCCAAGAATTACACCATCCGTGTAGTGGGGGGGGAAAAAAAATATATATATATATATAAGGCAGTTTACCTGAGAAGTACAAATGGCCCAAGAAAACCAATCAAGGGTATTGGAAAAATTTTGTATTTTTATCTGGATGGTGATTATATGAATATATAGATAGATATGTAAAAATTCACTGAGTTGCACTCTTGAAATTAGTTCACTTTACATACTTTAATATATATGTTATCTCTTCTTCAATAAGATGTTAAAAAATAGGAGTAAATAACCAACTAAGTCAAGAGAAAAAGATAGCCTAGACTGAGATATAAGTTACTCTAAATTCTGGGGTGAATTTTCAACAATTTTACATGAATCTGATCTTAGGAGCCTCACACGCTTGGTCTATGAATTAGATGAAATAAGACATAAGAAGTTCTTGGCACAGTGTGTAACAAATGTTACTTCCTTTTGTCCTTAGATCATTTTCGGAAGATCTCAAGAGATGACTATTTAAAAACTGTACTTAAATTCTATGTTGACCATCAGAAGACAAAGGAATGCTTATATAGTCACCTTAAGATTTTTTATAGCAGTTAGCATTGACAACCAACAATTTCTGTTTCTGAAATGTGTGCTAGGTAAGGCATGTTTCTAGGCAATACCCAAGAACATTTTTCAAAAAACTATAAAGTCATACATGTTTCTTACCTCTGTTTTTTCCTGTATTACGTGAGTACTGCTTCTAAAATTGAAACTAAATTCAACTTACAAAATTTAAGAGGTATATTGTTGTGGTTTTACACGGTTATCAATCTGGCTACATAAGAATTATGTGTCCCAGAACCCATTTCCCTGTATGGTTGGGGCTAGAATTGGGCAAAAGAGAAATTTACGTGAGATTTGTAAGGTCCCAGTGATGTAGCAGCCATGTTTCTTGAAGGTCACTGTGATCAAAGATAGTGAGAAAAAATAGTAGAAATGCTACTGGGTTTCACTTTGTCTTTGTTCTTTCCTCCTCTGTGACTAAAACTACTAGCTCAGTCGTTAAGCGTCTGCCTTCGGCTCAGGTCATGATCCCTGGGTTCTGGGACTGAGCCCGGCATCAGGCTCCCTGCTCAGCAGGAAGCCTGCTTCTCCGTCTCCCACTCCCCCTGCTTGTGTTCCTGCTCTCACTGTGTCTCTCTCTGTCAAATAAATAAATCTTAAAAAAAAAAAAAAGAACTATCAGCCTTGCTGATGAATGATTCCAAGGCCACCACCAACTACTCTGCAGCAAACTTGCAGAATGGCAGCTACACAGAGGCAACAGTCTTCCCCTGACTTCTGTCCTACTTCAGTTCCCCTTCACCCCACATCCTTTCATGGTCCCACACCAGTCGCTTCTAGATTGCCCTGCGAGCTCCCACTTGTCCATCCATGCCATTGTTTCAGGAAGGCTGGTTAGTGACTTTTCTCCTGAACTTTCAATTCTCCCTTTTGACCTATTTTCCCATCTTCGCCCAAGATTGTACAACATGTAATTCATAAAATAAATTCCCTATTCTGTAAATGTCATAGTGCTTGTTTTTCCCTGTTTGGGCACTACCTGATGTGTGTGTTATGGTAATCACACGTGTGCTATGTGGTTAAGAAGGACCAATACTTCTGGTGGAGCATGAAACACAGGTCCGCCCCCTGGCAAAGGTCTCCTCCCCTTGATCTGCCTTGCTGAAACATCTCCAGGTGCAAGTTTTCTTCTGTGCATCCCTAGAAGCCCACAAGGCTTTGCTTATAATTTACACATCTAAATGACAATACCTGACCAACACCTTCCTGAGATGGATCCTGGAATTTACTCCATACTAAATTCTGTACCCTCTCTCATGACTCATCCTAACTTACCTTAGAGATATATAGTAAGTTCCATAAAGATTCAACTCAATATGACTGCATTTACTTAACAGCTACTACGTGTGAGGTGTTCAGATAAATAAATGAATGAAATAAAATCTCTGCTCTGAAAAAGTTCAGTCTGGTGAGGGAAACAGATGTATAAATCAATGATCCCATACAGTATGACAAACAGAGAGAGGTGTGTTAAAATGTTAGGGGAACAGAAGAAGAGACTGTCTGTTTGGGCAGGAGGGCAGTGGGGAAAGCTTCATAGCACAGGTTATTTCTCAAGAATCAAACACGGTTTTCCAGGAAGACTTGGAGGGGGAGGAGTGTGTACCAGGTAGATTAAAGCACATAGGCATGGAGGTCTGAGAAAGCAAGGCGTTGCAGGAGAAGAAAGTTCTCAACCACTGCTTTTCTACCTTTGCCTCAAATTCAATATAAACCAAGGCAGACATTCCCCCGTCCTCTCTTCCCCAGAAAAAAAAAAAAAAAGCACTGCTTATATGCGATGGAAACAGCTAGGGTAGTTTGGGGGTATGCATGGTCTACACATTTTGGTTTGTTGGAAAGGCCAGGGTCAAAGGGAGAAAACTGGATCATCTTTACGGGCCTTTTAATGCAGACGTCCTTATGGGAGAATTAAAGGTCTTACATTCTGCAGCAAAAGATGGAAGAAGAAGACCAAGAACTGTGATGGGAGAAAATTTTTGATTTTAAAGTGTTGGATAACCTCCATTAAGAAGGATTACTCATTTAGAATCCCAACTTTTACCTCTGTGTTAAAGCTGCAACTTAATATACATAGCTTGCCTTTTGGGCTGTTTCAGACACAACTGTGTTAATTTATTTTAATTAAATAAATTAATTAGTATGACAGTATCCCATCATGACCTTGGAAAGGTAGAATGAGTCATACTTTTGAAATAGGACACTGCATCTCCCTGAGCTCAGGCGCCTCAGCATTCCGTGGTGGCAATGAAAGATCATGGAAGAGAAGGCTTGGCCGAGTCTTTCATTCACAATAACTCAGCTCTATCCAATGTGTTATTCAATACTACTTCACTGAAATTGGACGCCCTGCCCCCTGCCCTCAAACAGCTTAAGCTCTCACAGTCAGACTCACATTACTGAGAACAGAAGTGACAGGGCTGAAGTTTGGTTCTGAAGTTCCTTTATAGGTGTGACAACCCTCCTTGCCGTCCCTGTTCCACCCCGTGCCTGGCAGGTCCCACCTCCTTCCTTGCTTCGGGAAGGAAGTTCCTAGGAGGGCGATCTCCATGACACTGACAGGTGGCAGCCACCGAAGCCACTGACAGTTGCCACTTCCGCACCACTGTTGCAGCACAAAAGGAAATGATACTCTCCTTAATGAAATAAAGACTTCCAAAGTTTGGAATCAAAAGGAGAATCTCTCGTTGTTTCCCACTCACTACAATGCCATAATTGCAGGCAGGGCAATGAGGTACTGTTACGTTCTTACCATGAGGCCTGGTGAGTGGGTGCAGAGGCTGCCCTGGGGCTTGGGGACAGAACGCTGTGAAGTGAAAGGATGACCTGGCCAAAGGCCGGTGTGGGCAAGAGTCAGGGGCACAGGTGCCATGGAATTGTTGTCCTTCCTCTCGTACTTGTGCGGCAGGAAAAGAAATCTCACTAAATCATGAGGAAAAAACTGAGAAGCACAGAGGACTCCCGATACAGATAATTCAGCTTATTAGAAATATTTTCCTCATTATTAGCTTATATTGTTTGGGTTCTTCTTTTTTAATCTCTATTCTCTGTCTTTTTTTGAGAAACCTTTTTTGTTGTTGCTTTGGTCTTTTGGGGTTAGCTTCTAGCACTCAGAAGTACCCTTCTAGACAATCCTCAAGATCTAGGTTCAGAGGATATACATTAAAAAATGCAAAATCTCCTCTTCTGTTTATCTGAGATCTATTTTCAGGTCTTTAAAAAAATTTTTTTTTTTAACTTTTTTTTTTTCCTTCTGAGACCCCACCTCTTCCTTGAGTGAGACGGACTCCATCATGTCCTCTTCAGAAGAGGCTTCCTATACCCAACGAGGAGTGGCCTTCCTTCACAGGCCTCAGCCAGAGGACTGTATAAAAGACAATATTCTGACAGAAGGTAAACAAAGAGTACATGAGGGGGTGATGGACCAGTTGGGCTTCTGAGTTATACCGACTGGGTTTGAATCCTACATCTTTCCTTACTACCTGGGCGTCTGAGCAGACTATCAACCTCCGTAAGTCAGTTTCCTCATTTATAAAATAAGGATAATAACGGTACCTATAACTCACAAGGTTCTTATGTGGAGTAAAGGAGACAGCATATGTAACGTGTTTACCATAGTAACTGGCACAGCGCTCAGGAGACATAAACTGTAGCAATACATACTGCTGGGGGTTCATTGCTTTCTGCACTCTAATAGCCTGTAAGTTCACACATAGGGAGCTATGGCCTGGGAAAGAGGAGAAGGTGAAGCTGGGTGTGTGGGGTGTAGAATAATACACTTCCTTCTAATACATGATTCAAAGTCAGGCCAATGCCATATCTTTGAACACCTTCCCTCTGTTCCTTCAATAGAGGAATTGGCTGCATCATGGGGTCACACAGGGTGGTTCTTTGCCCCACACTCTACCAGTTCTCTGTGTCCTCAAAAGAATACTTAAAAAAGAAGGTTCAAGGGATAAAACACTATAGTAGTATCATGTACCAGGAAGAACCAATAGTATGAACAATGTTATTTCCTGGCTTATAAAGCAATCCATTACATTGATTTACCTTTTCTTTTTCCCTTTTAATCTCTAAAATTTTAAAGTGATATTTAGCTGACAGCTCGATAGGTTGAATGTCTTCATTCATCAACAGAACAGTCATGGGAAGAGAACCACAAGCTTGCTGACATTCCCTTACTTCAGGTCTCTCAACCTACTCTGTCTTTCTGCAAAAATCATATGAGGCCCCTGGACATAAATTGTTTGGGACAGAATTGAAGCTATGAAGAGTGGAAAGGAATATA